TGAAACATCAAAAGTACGTTACTCTGTTTACACATTTGTTGCGTTTAACAGTCACTGAAGAAAAACTAAAGTTGAAGCGATGCATATTTGAGTAAAACAACTTCTGTCATCAGTGATAACTATCAAAATAGTTTCAAGAAAGAAAGACCACATTGATCAACAACAAACAATCATACAGTCAGCAATACATACGAATACTAGAAAACAAAATCACCTACTGTTTATTTCATCTAGTGAAAACTGGATACACGTTTGACTCCTTTTGTCAATAGATCATCCGTCAAATGAGATTTTGTTTTGCAAATGCGCAACATTGACGGAAAGTTTCATATGTACTTATTACCGACCAATTCATTATTCGCAATACTCACATGTGTGCTAATCCACAGATTGCTGAATGGTTGCAATACTTATACTGAAATCTATTTATACAACAGACACAACATGGCTACTGACTGACTAGAACATAAGACTCAGCATTGAAGCACAACTGATTCATCTAGATGAGACTTGATACATGCGAGCCACTAATCACATGGATTTAACAGAATAGCAGTTTTGTGATTCTGTCAAGAACCTATGATCAGTTGATGTGATTTCAGTCCTCACAGATTCTTCAATCTCGACACTGTGCAGTATATAAAGTTGAAAGTTATTGACTGCTATTATCTCCATGTTAGTCATGCTTCAAGGAATCGGTGTGTAACTAGTGATATGCGAACTTTGTGCTTAGAAGGGAGAACTAACACTCCTTCTGAAAAATTGCTTACTGAATGGAAAATATGTATTTGTTCATCGTGACTTTCAGGAGAAGCTGTTTAGTGGCAAAGACATAATTTTAGACACTACACAGTGTGCAAAATCGCCCACATTCAGTTAAGCAACATTTGTAAATAAGTTGAGGAGAATCATATGATATCGCCAAGTTGTTTCCAACCTCCGACCCTTTAGTTTTTCAGCATATTCATTGTTTTCCTTTGAATGCTTCAATACAGCTTCTTTATAAAGTTGCCACGAGAGAAGTACTAAACATTTTGCTGTTACATGATACAGGGAAGTAAACGCACTTAACTTAGACACACACTGGGAATAAAGTAACATAAGGTCCAGTTAGTGAAATTACATATTCGTTCTTCACAACTTCCTCCTGAAATCTAAAACTGTTGTTTAATCCTCTTTCGTGGCTCCCATACCTGGTCGTCATGATTCTGTATCGTTTACTACCAGTCACTTATTTCTTAAAATAACTGCTATCATATTGTCGACATTGTCATATTTATGTGGAAGGGCTAGTCCTATTCATTTGTCTGGCTTAGCTGTCTTCATGTTGTCATTCAATGTAGACCTTCATAAGGATTCAACTTGCGTTTTCGTAAGAATGTCTTTTGAACCGTTTTAGTCACAGCAGTTTTCATGCGGGCTCACAACTTAAAGAGAGGACTAATGGAGTTACTGAACTTTTAGAATTTTACTAGAACTTTTACAAATATTTCAAAAATTTATCAGAGAGTTTCGCTTTCTTTTGTTACTTTAATCTACAAATTACTACTCAATAAAACATTGAACGTTGAAAAATCTGCATAAACCTGCAGGGTTATATACAAAAATTGTACTTGAATATTTAGGTAGTAGATGCGGCTTCACTATTGCGTACTGCGGCAGCATGTCATTCAACTTCACTACAATATGGATGTCTCCGCTAATATCTTCGAAGTTCAGCATTCACATAACAATTTATCACATAATATCAAGATTCGTAAGCCACCTGACAGTTACAATTTCCCGTGTATAGTATCAGCTGGGATTATTCATGCTTTATTTTTTGCTGCAGTAGTCGATCATTTTCCTTGGTTATCTTCTGGCTTAACTTTAACCTTTCACTTAGAATCAAACTTTGCTGTAACTCTTAAACAACACTGATTAGAAACGTTCAACCTGTTGTTTTTCCTTGTCATGAATTCTGCAACTTAGTCTTTATTTAACCATTTGTCTAGAAATATGTGTTATACCGTGTAAATTTCTCAAACATGTTTTGAGGAGTTTCCGCACACCCTTAAACTACAACTATTCATCTTCTGTCTTTCAGAAGACAATGGAATGTGTTAGAGTATTCATAAATCTAGGAGAATCTCTTCATATCTGGAAAGACAGGGACAGAGATGCACTCAACAATCACGTACGCGTTGGGACTAGTTGTGTTACCTGATTGCCCAAACCTCGGTAGACGGTACGGTGATCAAACCTGTGACACACTGCTTGAAAATCCTCTTCGTAGACCTGTGAGCCACAGCTCCACGTCGTTAAAATCATACAGAACTATTCTAAAGTTTTTCGTTGAGTGATTCCTAATCATAACTTCTATTAGTTGTTCAATGTTTTCAATGATAATGTTAGATTTCTCTATTCAATCAGTTGACTTTGAAATCATCTACACCTTCTGTGTGTGATTATATTCTGCATAATTATTTGCATATCTTTATCGCGAACACAAACTTTTTGGGTTTAGTTGAGGTAAGGTATGAAAACAGTGCTTAGAACGATTTACACTACGGTCGTCGGGAATTTGACAGAAGTCTAACAGACGTGTTTGACTTTTGCACTTTAGCTGTCGTTTTATTAAGTAATAGGTAGCCAAACCTAGCAGTGAATAGATGCTGTATTCAGTTTATCGGCATGTGGTTAAGAGCATCAATACAATTACACCATGGAAGCTTGACTTTCTGAGTGATGTCTGTATATATCATACCAACCTCAATTCAGGAGATTCAAGTTTATCTTGATACATAAGCGTGAAGAATTACTGGCACAACTGGTAGTCAGTACTTAAATTGGTAATGGTTGCATGACTGAGTGTAAGCTCTTGAATTCCACATTGACCTGGTTCAACTCATAACCTATAACTATAATAAGCAGATCGTGTTGGTTTGGGAAAACGTGTACATAGAAAACATGAGAAAATGAACTGCTTGGTTGTTCTATAAATTATGATACTTCTTCAAATTGATCTCTAGCTTACTTCATTTTATATTGTTCACTGGTCAGCTGAAGCTATTGTTTGCTATCAAATAAGTTCTTTTATCCTCACGGTGTGTGTATTGGATTAGATTAGTTACGAGATGTCTATCTTGCCGTTGAATGGATAAGATGTAACTTATAATTAAAGGACAGAAAGATTTTTATTTGACAGTCACGGATTATTGAAACTTATCTGTGTACGTTAATCTGACTGGATACTTCTACAGACTTTCCTTTGTTAACATTATTACTGGGTGATGAATACAAGTAATAGTTTGAAAATGAGAAGCAATTTACCTAAATAAATTCGACTTTTAACTCTGGTATACTTTATTATATTCCCAGAGTGTTTCAAGTATGTAGACAATTTTACTGAATGTTTTGGTAAGCTAATACAGCAAAACGTTCAGAAAACTCTTGTTTCGATCTTGGAAATACAATGGGATCATATTACGTAGTGGGTAAATACTGACAAAATGAAGTAAAAAGAGTTTGCATACATTTTATTGTGGATTAATTACCACAGAACTCAGAGAGTGACGTTTCCATTTTCGGAATATATAGAAAGTTATTGCTGCAGTAAATAGTTATAGGCTTAAGTGTTTATGGCTGCTTATCACGTCAAACGATTTAAGGCTATCAACACTGTGTCCATTATCAATCATGTTACACGCAGTGCTTGAAGACTCCTTAGGTTGGAGATGGGTTCGAAAATCCGAACAAAAGCATTCTTCCCGGTTCATACTAACATTTCTCAAGATTTCACCGGACAGTTTAACACACATTGGGTCCCAAGTTAGTATTTTCCTAATTTAAAGGTTATATCTGTATAAATCTAAGCGTGTGTGAAGTAAAAGTTTCCAGCGTTTCTTACACAAATCTCATCTGCGCTGCTTCAGGGAAAAAGTCAAAACCTACATTATCATAGATAAATATAACAAGTCAAAGACCGCATAGTTCATTTCATTTTCAGCTCATACTGAAAAGCAATCACAATCCACATACTATTAGACAGTAAGATGAACTACACGGTTTTTTCGCCTGACATATATGTTTGTTAATGTAGATTTTGATTCTTTGCCTCAAGAAGTACCGATCAAAATTCTATGCGAAGCGTTGGCATTATTCATCTCAAACATGTTGAGATTTGCATACGTGTACCTTGCATTTCTCTCTGTTCTTCCAGTATGTGTGCTTTGACAAGTACTTGTAGGTTAAAAGATACACTTCGAAGTAGCATGAGTTAGGAATTTGTTCACATTCAGTTGTAAAAACGAACAATTTGTCTGGCATAAATAGATCAGATGACAGCGTATACGTTCCATTCAATGCAGCACACAATCGATGCTTGTACCCAGTATTTATTTCATCATCTTTGAGCACAAGTTATAAAAAGAAGGGGTTTGTTTCTACTGTACCTCACTGATTTCTCTTCATAGAAGACTTTCACTATTCCTCAAGGAACTTCCACGCATAGCCAATATCATGCAACACTTCCTGAAGTATTCCTTTCCAGCGAAGTTTTCGGATACAATTCAATAACAAACACTTTCTTGGAGCCTATTAGAAAAGTGGCCCTTCGTGCTCAAATAAGTTTCATTCAAATGTTTCCCTTATTTTCGATTAGATTTGAGTTAATACTGTAGTTAGTAGAAAATAATTTTGCTTCATCATGCGGACTACACTTTTCTTGTTTTTCCGAAGCTTACCAAATAGAACTTAATATTCTTGGTGGATCAATTCAACTGTCAAACAGCAGGCTTTTGTCTTGTCATCCACTTTTCGGAGAAATATAAACATAAAAGAAACTGAAAAGGCTTTCAAATTTTTATTCAAGGAAGTTAATGGATTTTATCTCCAATTGTCTATACATGATTATCACATTATCCTTAGAAGTGTTTTCTCGATGGTTTCATACAAGAAATAAGAAGAATACATTTTTGTGATTGCTTAACTCGATCATGCCCAATGCTAAGTATTTCAATTCATTCTGAAATGTGATCAAGAAAACAATTCGGTTATATTTGCATAGTGAGAATTATTCAACATATATTTCAAAAACAACAAGCTCATTAAGTCTTAGAGATAACTGGCCTAGTGGATAACGCTTTGAGGTTTGAAGAGATGGGCACTATGTTTGAGTATTAGCTGGATCAAAATTACTCACTAGGGTGGAGGTAAATCATAAATAGAACGAAACGATAGTTCTTGATTCAACTGTTGGCCACCAACTCGATAACAATATAATAAATATTCGGTTAGCATCCTGCCTTTCACTTAAGAGCCCAGTTTTCAATTAGGGTTGAGCAACTTGACTCCGTTAAGCAATACCGAATTGCAAGTTTGAATGAACAGTTTGTCTTTAGCTTGAATGAGTGCTTTCATTCAGCTATCAGTCTGTATATTTGAAATCTTATTGAATAAATTTCCCCAATTTAGAATCTTGATGACTTATAGTGCATAGTGTAAGATGGTGTAAACTAGTTCACATCATTCGTAAGATAGATTCCGTCGAATATTTTACAGCTATTGGATGCTGGTTGGTTAGCGGACAGATGAAGTACACTATTTCAACCTCACTTAAGTATCTACCATGTTGTATATTTTACTATTTGTCTCGAAGAATTTCTGATCACATTTAAAGGTTGAAACATAGCTACTGTTTCATTTTGAACACCTTGGGATTTGTATAAGTTTGACTTGAAAAAATGTATAGGTATGAGCAGGCATCGTTAAGTTAGATTTAACCAGTTCCACTCTTGCGTAGTTTCCATAGTGCTCAAAAAAAATATCGAATTAGTTACCATGTATAGTTTACATGCTTTTAGTAGGAAGCGTCTATTGGAGTCACTGAAACAGATTTACTGAAACACAAGCATCTTAGAACTAAGTATCTAAAAGACGCGAATACACACATCTTATTCTTGGTGCACTGAATAGGTTTTCAGAGTTCCATGACTGTATATTGACAAGAAACGAGCGATTTCGCCTGTTCACTAGTATCTTCAATGAATGAAATCAGTAGTGTATTGTCAGTGATCACTTTTCAGTAGGTGTATTCATATTATTTCATCAGCTTACTTAACTCAAGTGATACATTAGGAGACATAAGGTGTAGGCAGAATTAGTTGGTAGGAAGCTTACAGCTGATAGTATCTGAAGGTTTTCATTGTTTGTTAGCTTTGATATTTATAGCTCGTTAAATTCTGTGTTGCATACAAGCTACTCGAAAGTAAATTCAACGATAAGTTGTTTTGACGTAGTAACAAGTTGACAGTAGGATGGATCTATAAAACGATCTGTCTACAAAGAAGCTACAAGAAGGGGTAGATATACCACCTTCGTCCGGTTCACTGCAGACAGGGACTAACCAGTAACCTATGCAGTAGCGTTTAACGAATACTAATAGATTATACTTTGAAATAGAACATAACAACATTGACTGAAACACTGTTGAAAACGAATATCTACCAGAATCATTCCCACAGGTACAAATTCGCGATAGAGTTGAAACCTGCTTTTAACATTTGTCTTTTCACCAATCATTTGAATAAACGTTAATCTTATGACGCAGTCCTTTGGTAGAGGCTTAACGCTGCTACTTGAAGGACATACTATGCATCTGGGGTCTGATTACTAAAACCAGCAAACCTGTATACTCTGTCGAACTCATGAAGAATATGAATAATAATGTAACATCCCATTGTATTTACCAACTTAGATGCTTGTGTAGTGACACATGCAAAGAGAGGATTAACAGATTCATGCATGTAAGGGCCTCTGTGACTATTTGAAGTGATTTTAAAAGCAAACTGAATAGCCCGAACCCACTAACCTCGGTACCAGATATTCAACTCCTATTCTTAAACATATCGTTGAGATAGGCGACAAGACTGACGTTTGTACCCTCTATAGACCCAGTTCTCAAAGATGTTGGATAGGAGGGGTATTCTTCAGTTTTCTGATCCCTTAGGTATTTAAAGTGACCTTTCTAGGCTCAAAAGGAATTTGTTATCACATCAAACCTTCCTAAGTCTGCTTACTAGAAATAGCACACAGCGAAACAGTATCATTTACCAGATAACGTGTGCGTCCGGCATTTCTAATAAACTGACCAAAATGGAATAACAATCGAACACAGTGCTCAAATATTACTCCTATATTAAACCTTCCTTAGTGATTTAAAATCCTAAACCGCGTGCGATATATAAATTTTTTCAATATATCAGATTTCATTGTTGTTTTAGCTTTCAATTTAGACTTTCTAATTTACCTGGTTTCACATTCTCACAACTTATCCCTTCATAATTTTACTTTTGGATACCTATGACGAGCAACTTCACGACCAGACTGTTCCAAATCTGTTCAATAAATCCTTGACATTTATTAGTATTATTTGTCCATCAGGTTCCCAGTGGAACATACGGCTTCAGTAGCACATCTCCATTTCACTCTCTTCTCTACAGTCTTTTCAACCTGTCTCCACACCTGACCACAAGATTTCATTTATTCCTAACACCATCTCATCTATGTCACCCTCGCCACGGATGCCCAACTCATCATTTCCCCTTTGGTTTGCACTCGAGGGCTTGCCGCAACATGTTCCCAATCGGTCTTCTCAGTTTATGCCCAATCCAATCCATCTACACTTCCTTCTCCATATTTGTTCGACGATGGCTTCTTGGTTGGCTGTTTGTCAGGCAAGAGTTCCTTATTGCTTATTCTGTCTGACCATCTCATCTCATCTTCACTATCGAGTGAGCGTAGATGGCAGTCGTTGACAAATGTCTGCAGTTTGTTGAGAATGCTTTTCGTAACACATCACCAAGTCTCTCAACCATCACAAAGAAGCACTGAGTTGAGTTACTTGACTGACATTAGTGTTAAAAATGCGAATGTTGTTCACGCTTTATGCTGAGTTCAGTGCAGTAGATCTCCACACTGGTTTCAGATTGATGAAGGTCTGTCTTGCTGTCTTTCCGATCTTAGCATTGACCTCTTCATCTGTGTCCCTGCCTCCGCCTACAGATGAAACGATGCTGCATACGGGGGTAGGTGAAAGAGACAACTTCTTTTACATTCCTCCCTTTGATGGCTATTGATGCTCGGTGTTGATGTTGTTGTCGCTGCTGTTGGTTGGATATCTTCATCACCTCTGTCTTCTCTAAATTCGCCTGAAGAAAGTCCCGTCCTCACCACCCTCCCTCCCCTCTTCTACAAACGTGTTGGCTTTCAACTGTACATCTTCGAGTTTGTGCCACAAGACATTAGACATAAATCATCATCGGTGGCGAAATCCAAATCTACTTCTCTGGTCTTTTCATCGGTCCAGCCGGCGTATGCCCAGCTTCTCCATACTCACAGTCGCCTGCTGCATAATCCAATCCAGTCAACTCCAGTGGATCACAATCACGAGGATCATCGGTGATCGTAGGCGGCAACCTTGTCTTGTCTTACTCCCCTTCACTTCACTTCACTTCAAAGGCACCAATGACCTTTCCATTGTCAATCACCTGCCATCACTTGCATCATCATATGGCATATACCTGCTGTTGAATCAGGTTGATAAATGTTTGTGGCACCAAAAGCGTAGTGTTGAAGCGACCACCTGCCAAATTACTTCTCGGTCGACGCTGTTGAAGGCCTATTCAAAATCGATGAAGTTGAGTTAGAGTTGAGTTGACTGACATTCTGTGCTCTCCTACATGATGATGCGTAGCGTTGCGTTGCGTTGCGTTACAATTTGATCCGCACATGATTTGTTCTTCCTTAATTAAGCCAGCCATCCAGCCAGTTTCAGTAGCAATTTTGAATCCACAGCACTCTTTACTCCCTCCAATATGATGCGGCAGAATATTTCACTTGGGGTGGACAGGTGTGGAGCATGATTCCGCACCAGTTCCTGCAAAGACATAGGTCACTCACTCTTCTTTGGAAGTTCGACATGGTAGCTATTCTTAAAATCAATCGGCAGGTACCTTTCCTTCTTTCCTTCCTTCCTTCCAAACATTGTGCAATAGTGACTTCAGCATATCCGCTGATGTGTCTGCGTCTGTCTTCAGTGCTTCTGGTGGAATTCCATCTAGTCCTGCTGCTTTTCCGGATTTCACCAACTTTATGGAGTTCAGGATTTCACTTTGCTTCCGTCCGACGGCTTGTGTTCACGTGTAATTCTGCTGCTGCCAATGGTATTTCTGGACGAGTTGCAGTTGGTGGTCGTCGTTGTGGTGGTCGATCCAAGAGTTTTCTGAAGTGGTCAGTTCATCCATTCCTGTATTCTGTTTCTCTCTTCTTTGTTCATCCCTGCACTGCACCGCACTACACTTCACTACACTGCACAGCACTGCACAGCACTGCACTGTACTAAACTGCTCCATTCATATACATCATTTCAATGTGTAATTCTCCACTCATGATGACTTCTCCTCCTCTGTTGTCCGCGTCCACTTCGGCATTCATATCACCACACACACTGGAACGAATTTTGTCTTGTCCATTACTGATTGCAGTTGTCTGTTGAATCCCTCATTCGCCTCTTCATCTACATCATTCGTGGGTGCATAGAGTAACATTATACGATTGTGACTTCACCTCCTCTCCAGTTGAATCTTGCTAACATTATCCTGATCCCACATGAGGAGATTGGTTTCCACTGCATGAAAGAGAGCCCTCGATGCTGTTGGGAGGGGACATCATGATAGTCACTCCAAATCTCATCTCAGTGTGCTCGTCACTGTCATCTGGTTGACAATATTCGAGTAGATTATTGATTCTCCATTTGGCAGTCAGGAGAGTCCACTTCCATTCCATTCGACTCCATCTGCTTTCGCAGATTCCCACCAACTCTATGCCATACCATCTCATCTCTTTTACAATCTGGACAGTCTGCTAGGTTCATTCATACATGGTGTCCCAATTCTCACTCTGACTTTCATCGAGAGAAGTGGAGAGACATCGGCCAATTGGTTTCTCGAAGGCTTTCATCTACCAGCACCGTTTCGTCGTGGCGATTGCAGGGAGGAATGAGTTTTTTTCCTATTTTTGAAAATATTTTCTTTGTGCTTTGATGTTTGTTTATTGATTGGATAGGCTTTATGGGGTAGGGTTGCTAACCCTATTCCCAACTTTCCTTTTTTATCTGGGTTTAGGACCGGGTAGTAACTTGTGAACTAGTTAACCAGATGAGGTTAATGCTTGACATGATTCAGATAAATTGCTTGTTTCTACTGTTATGTAGGGGTTTATTTAGGGGACTTATTGTTTTGAATTATTTGTTTGTGGAGAAAATATCTCTTCGGTACAGTTTATTGTGCATTTATGATGATATGTTTTAACTTTCAGCATCAGTGATGCCGAAAATATTTCATGTGTTTTCGAAAGATACGTTCATGGAACCTTTGTTTGAAATGGATATCACATTTTGAGCCTTCTGGATAAGTTTAGCATGTTCACTCTTTCGACCAAATACCAGTCTCTGTTTGCATCGATAAAAGTATGTTTTATGATCTGAAGAATTCTCGCAGTTGACGTTGTTTCCATGTGTTTTTATCGTTTGCACAAAGAAGACAAATGTGTTCTTATTTCCTTAATGAATGAGTGAAATAAGAGTACGTTTTAGGCTCTCAGTATCCAAGTTTATCCACTATAAAACATTTTTGTCGATACTGTTTCAACTGTGTCCACATTTTAGGCAGGAAACTAAGTTACAATAGCAGTTGTGCCAACTGATGGATTCATTGGTCTTACATTAAACATAAGATACGAAAACATGGGCAGTACTACAGCCAGAATTGATCCACTCAAATACACATGCAATATGTGCTGAGATGAATAACACTCAAAAATGTCCAGTAATACAACATTACTGAAAAGAGATAAAACGAGTCAGTTATCTGTACCTTCACTTGCCTATGAATACATATAGTAGAAGACAAGGTTCTCGTTGTCACAAAAAGAATGTAATGTGTTTTATTTTGGAAATGTTCTCGGATATTTATCCATCTGTTACTGTTTTAATAGGTGTTTTCAGAAAAGGCTATTCTTTACACTCATTTATAGTGAGTTACAGAGGTAATTATCAGAGAGTCTGATATCAAGACTTACTGAACTGTTGGAATCTAAAGTAGCTCTTATTACTGGAAACCTCTGTGTCCAAATGCATGTTGAATATTTACCAGCCGGTAGTTACATCAGTTTCAATAGAAATGTCAACATCAAACTAAAATTTAATTGATGATTAGGCATGAAGTCCGTACAACTTACCCAGAAACACTCTTCAGTAAAAATAAGTAATCGTCATTAAGTCGCAATCATGCTTAAGTGGTTTAAAAGCTTCAGTAACTTATTCATTTAACTACTGTATGTCCTTCACTGGGAATGCGCATGCTTAGGTGTCTAACTTACCTTATCAGTTCGCTTGTAGACAAAAAGGAACAAAGTTGAAGAAAGAATATTAAGAGCGGATACTATGAAGATTTCTTTAACAATATCATACAGTCAACAAACTTATATTTGTAATTCATAATTTTTCATCAGATCGTTTGTTTCACTATCTTCCAGAGCTAAATTTACTCAATGTGGGTCCTTTTCTGAAACATGTTTACGACTAATTCACTTAAACTAAACTAGTTAATGCTTCATTTTCACTAGCAGTAGAACATTTTAAGGTAGTTGGAATATTCCAAAAAAAATCATACAATAGATCCATATATACCACTTATTCCAAGTATACTTGCCAATCACTTGAAAGGATTTCATTGACTGAGACAGTACTTCCTCAAACTTTACACTTGTCCATTTTAATTCACTTCCAACATTTAGCACTGATAACAGACAGACTATTCATATGGCGAATAAACAATCATTATACCTCTTGTAGCTTCTCAGAATTGACAGTGAGAAATACATTAACTCCTAGCCTCTTCACCAGCAGAACTCTTAACAAGTATGAATGTCAATCTACTATACGTTTGATTCGTTGCGGAGAAAATATATTACATTATGACTCCAACTAAGAGAGATGAAAGTGTCTTAATATAACTATGGGGGTGGGGGGGGACAAAAACAGGAATAATACAAAATTATATAACTGTGTTACATGAACAAATTCATATTTGCAAGAAAGCATTGAAAGGAATCCTGAGATGTTTATACTTCCTTTAGACTTTCAGTTATCAGTAAAACAAAGTACGGTGAACAGTTTGACTAAGAAATTTAAGTGAAAATCTTTAGCCCAGGATATCCATGTTCCGAGTGAGTAGCTGTGTGAGTTAGGGTCCTGATAAAATTTTAAGTGTCATGCTAGATTTAGTCATCAGTGCACTGTAGCTGCCTTACGAAAGGAATGTCAACTAAAACCCTAGCTTAGTGAACAACTCATGCTGAAGACAACTCGAATTCTCTCTGATAGATAAACTTTACAAGAAAAATAATTAGACATTTTCTGAAAGATTTGCCAATTCACTGTATACCACTTACATCAACAGATCTCTATGGAATGTGTAAATTTATTGATTAAGACTAGCGAGTATAAATCATCATAGTCAGATTTGGTGTTTCGGTTACATTAACTCTTCATTACATAATACTCCAAATAGATAACTTTTTGGTATACAGCTTCAAAGGGTTAATCTGGTAGCCATGTGATGTTCACTGTTTCGTTGGCTGTTACGAAGAAACTTACCTCAAATTGCCACTAGTGTTAATCCATGATTATTTGAACAAAAGGAAAATACAACTTCACTCGCCTCTCCTGTAAACCGAGCCACAGACCTCTAAAGCTTATGATAAGGTGGTTGACGATTTGACTTAACTTTTAGTTAGTAAGGGTGTGTAAGTAATTAAAAATTCTATTTTTTAGCAGCAGGAAAGAATATTTTGGTCACGTTATTAAAGTCACGTACATGATCCTTCCGATTCTGGAACAAATTTGAAAGTAGATTTGAAAACAAACAAACATTGCCGTAAAAGCATTATTGTCTGATATATTTTAGTAAGTGAAAACGGCTGTAAATTAGTCATCTTTGTCATGAATACCCTTATCTCTGAAAGCTAAACATATAGTGTTTACGATACGCCATATATGTGAAGCTGGCAATGGTGAGAGATTTTATTATCTAACCATCCTTCTTAAGTGATAACAAGTTTAAATATTATACAACAAAACTATCTTTCAGTATATCAAATATGTTCGCCTTAAAACTCCGTATGAAAATACTAGTTAACTAACTGATAATGCGAATCCCAATTTCTAGGCGCACTTTGAAACGTCCAAAACTTACATTTTATCGCACATACTTTTCTTAAGATCTAAAATGCATAGCGTTTGATGACAGACAGTTGGATGAAGTGTTAATTGATTGGCTTCATCTGTATAGTGAATGTATAAACTGGAAAAATCTGGTCGATTCAACCACATAAGAGTAAAATTGAATCATTGTGGTAGATTGTAATTCCATTTTAGTCACTTTATTAGAAATGTCATACAGTGAAACTGTATCAGTTACTGGATAACTCTTCGGACATAATGTACTCTCCACATTCATAACGATGATGTCGATAGTATGAATTTGGGCAATAATTTGTGTTCGAAACATTATCCAGTAAATGATACTGTTTCACTGTGTGACATTTCCAATAAACTGACTGAAATGAACTCTAGGTTTTTAGTTTCACTTATCTATGCCTGCGTTTTGAATTCAAGTTTGGTGAAAAAACAGTGTGATAGGTTTTGACTCTAAAATAATGAATGTGGTTAAAATCCTAAAAGAAATTTACCATTATAGGTTAAATGTCTTGGTTGTATTGTGTTCTCTGAGCTGGGTTGTTTAGTCGTGAGGCTTTCGTCGTCTTGCTAGATGATATCATCAGCACTAACTTCATACTGAAGCTTCACGATTAAACAACCCAGCTCAGAGAACACAATACAACCAAGAACATCCACCTGAGCTGCAAATATTCTCCATAGCTTAAATGTCTCAGATTATTCTGTGGCGCAAACATCTTTGAAATATTGCAGAAGTATATGGTATCAGCGTACTCATGGAGCTGTTTGTTTCTATCCTAGCAGCATGTTGCAGAATCCTTCATTGAATCAAATTAAGAAGCTGTGAAGCTTTTTCAAAATCTTGTTGGTAAAACGAAAGTGCTTGGAAGTCACTTAGTCTCCTTTTAGTTACATCAAAACTCTTCTTGTGCAAGAACATGCTATATGTGAATTCTACTGAGCTGAATGTCACAGCATCATCACAAACTAATCTTATTGAAGGCGGAGATGGATGTATGTAAAATGGTATTCAGCAAATACTAATCATTAGGTTTTTGCTTTTGTCCGTTTAGACAAAAGCATTAGGAGTAATAGGTTGCAGTTCGCAGATGACACACCACTAGAAGCATTCTCGTTCGTATGTTTACACTTGCACCAACAAACGTGTAAGCTGATGTTAACAAAATACTTGACAGATACTAGCAGACTATTATTGTATGCCTTAACGGTATAGGTAAACACTGGGATTTTTAGGAGTTATCATAGGCAGCGATCGCTTACAGGTGTCAGACAGTTGCATGAACGATGATCAGTAAGTAGATGTTGTTTCATAATTTTTTGATACCATTAGGCCTTTAAGCCCTGGTCTGTACGTCTCATTTAACTGGGATCTGAGTGACTAAATCAGATGGTATGGGAAAGTGAATTCAACTAATGCGTCACAGGTTTGATCACGAATTCACCTATCAAGGTTCAGGTAAAAAGGTAGTAACACTAGCCGTCACACAATTCATTTGCCTCACTGACGACTGCACGAATGCGCTCCCCCACTTAACTAGTTCACTAGTTGCTACCCGGTCCTAAACCCAGATAAAAAAGGAAAGTTGGGAATAGGGTTAGCAACCCTACCCCATAAAGCCTATCCAATCAATAAACAAACATCAAAGCACAAAGAAAATATTTTCAAAAATAGGAAAAAAACTCATTCCTCCCTGCAATCGCCACGACGAAACGGTGCTGGTAGATGAAAGCCTTCGAGAAACCAATTGGCCGATGTCTCTCCACTTCTCTCGATGAAAGTCAGAGTGAGAATTGGGACACCATGTATGAATGAACCTAGCAGACTGTCCAGATTGTAAAAGAGATGAGATGGTATGGCATAGAGTTGGTGGGAATCTGCGAAAGCAGATGGAGTCGAATGGAATGGAAGTGGACTCTCCTGACTGCCAAATGGAGAATCAATAATCTACTCGAATATTGTCAACCAGATGACAGTGACGAGCACACTGAGATGAGATTTGGAGTGACTATCATGATGTCCCCTCCCAACAGCATCGAGGGCTCTCTTTCATGCAGTGGAAACCAATCTCCTCATGTGGGATCAGGATAATGTTAGCAAGATTCAACTGGAGAGGAGGTGAAGTCACAATCGTATAATGTTACTCTATGCACCCACGAATGATGTAGATGAAGAGGCGAATGAGGGATTCAACAGACAACTGCAATCAGTAATGGACAAGACAAAATTCGTTCCAGTGTGTGTGGTGATATGAATGCCGAAGTGGACGCGGACAACAGAGGAGGAGAAGTCATCATGAGTGGAGAATTACACATTGAAATGATGTATATGAATGGAGCAGTTTAGTACAGTGCAGTGCTGTGCAGTGCTGTGCAGTGTAGTGAAGTGTAGTGCGGTGCAGTGCAGGGATGAACAAAGAAGAGAGAAACAGAATACAGGAATGGATGAACTGACCACTTCAGAAAACTCTTGGATCGACCACCACAACGACGACCACCAACTGCAACTCGTCCAGAAATACCATTGGCAGCAGCAGAATTACACGTGAACACAAGCCGTCGGACGGAAGCAAAGTGAAATCCTGAACTCCATAAAGTTGGTGAAATCCGGAAAAGCAGCAGGACTAGATGGAATTCCACCAGAAGCACTGAAGACAGACGCAGACACATCAGCGGATATGCTGAAGTCACTATTGCACAATGTTTGGAAGGAAGGAAGGAAAGAAGGAAAGGTACCTGCCGATTGATTTTAAGAATAGCTACCATGTCGAACTTCCAAAGAAGAGTGAGTGACCTATGTCTTTGCAGGAACTGGTGCGGAATCATGCTCCACACCTGTCCACCCCAAGTGAAATATTCTGCCGCATCATATTGGAGGGAGTAAAGAGTGCTGTGGATTCAAAATTGCTACTGAAACTGGCTGGATGGCTGGCTTAATTAAGGAAGAACAAATCATGTGCGGATCAAATTGTAACGCAACGCAACGCAACGCTACGCATCATCATGTAGGAGAGCACAGAATGTCAGTCAACTCAACTCTAACTCAACTTCATCGATTTTGAATAGGCCTTCAACAGCGTCGACCGAGAAGTAATTTGGCAGGTGGTCGCTTCAACACTACGCTTTTGGTGCCACAAACATTTATCAACCTGATTCAACAGCAGGTATATGCCATATGATGATGCAAGTGATGGCAGGTGATTGACAATGGAAAGGTCATTGGTGCCTTTGAAGTGAAGTGAAGTGAAGGGGAGTAAGACAAGACAAGGTTGCCGCCTACGATCACCGATGATCCTCGTGATTGTGATCCACTGGAGTTGACTGGATTGGATTATGCAGCAGGCGACTGTGAGTATGGAGAAGCTGGGCATACGCCGGCTGGACCGATGAAAAGACCAGAGAAGTAGATTTGGATTTCGCCACCGATGATGATTTATGTCTAATGTCTTGTGGCACAAACTCGAAGATGTACAGTTGAAAGCCAACACGTTTGTAGAAGAGGGGAGGGAGGGTGGTGAGGACGGGACTTTCTTCAGGCGAATTTAGAGAAGACAGAGGTGATGAAGATATCCAACCAACAGCAGCGACAACAACATCAACACCGAGCATCAATAGCCATCAAAGGGAGGAATGTAAAAGAAGTTGTCTCTTTCACCTACCCCCGTATGCAGCATCGTTTCATCTGTAGGCGGAGGCAGGGACACAGATGAAGAGGTCAATGCTAAGATCGGAAAGACAGCAAGACAGACCTTCATCAATCTGAAACCAGTGTGGAGATCTACTGCACTGAACTCAGCATAAAGCGTGAACAACATTCGCATTTTTAACACTAATGTCAGTCAAGTAACTCAACTCAGTGCTTCTTTGTGATGGTTGAGAGACTTGGTGATGTGTTACGAAAAGCATTCTCAACAAACTGCAGACATTTGTCAACGACTGCCATCTACGCTCACTCGATAGTGAAGATGAGATGAGATGGTCAGACAGAATAAGCAATAAGGAACTCTTGCCTGACAAACAGCCAACCAAGAAGCCATCGTCGAACAAATATGGAGAAGGAAGTGTAGATGGATTGGATTGGGCATAAACTGAGAAGACCGATTGGGAACATGTTGCGGCAAGCCCTCGAGTGCAAACCAAAGGGGAAATGATGAGTTGGGCATCCGTGGCGAGGGTGACATAGATGAGATGGTGTTAGGAATAAATGAAATCTTGTGGTCAGGTGTGGAGACAGGTTGAAAAGACTGTAGAGAAGAGAGTGAAATGGAGATGTGCTACTGAAGCCGTATGTTCCACTGGGAACCTGATGGACAAATAATACTAATAAATGTCAAGGATTTATTGAACAGATTTGGAACAGTCTGGTCGTGAAGTTGCTCGTCATAGGTATCCAAAAGTAAAATTATGAAGGGATAAGTTGTGAGAATGTGAAACCAGGTAAATTAGAAAGTCTAAATTGAAGGCTAAAACAACAATGAAATCGAATTTATTGAATAAATTAGTATATCGGATTGTTTCAGCCACTTTTCTGCTATAAACTTAGATTAAGTATTTGCTGCATTTATAATCCATTTGTTGTGTGCAACGAAAATTTCATTCTTCTTTAGAAAATTTGTACTCACACTGTAATGCATCTAATGTGTTCATTACTTGATAAGAAAGGGGGAGAAATATAACATTTTTTAAAGTATGTCCGCCTTTTGAGATTTATAATTACTTAAGGTGGGCGTTTAATTTGATGTCATGATTTATCTTTTATTATATATTATAAAGATAGGTTAGTTATTGAATACGCGACTTCCTAGACAGTCAATGTGATATGTTACGTGTTTCAGTCATGAAAAGATCTAAACATTTGCGAACATTAGGTATCAATTATCAACAGAAATCTATGTAATTCATTTATAAATTGACAATACTTAATTGCAGTTGACTATCATTTTAGCTTTATTTATTTCAGAGATCTCTAGTGTGCTTAATTTTTGACCCTTGCCATCATATAGAGCACTTAAATTTCATGAATACTGTCAATTATCACTTGACTTATATCTTTCAACTCTTGCTGATGTATTCAATTCCAGGTTGTTTCATTCATTTCCACAGATAGGTTGCTTGACAATATTAAAAAAGCAAGCTGACTTGATATATTAGTTTAACGATAAGAATAATGTCTACTTGAGAAACTTGACAGAGTAATACCGAAAATATCCTATAGAATTGAAAAATGTGCTTACCAATTTCTATATAACATAAAAATGTAGGATAAACACTTGCATAATCATAGTATGTGATTCATAAAGTACACAGTAAAGCGAAAGTGTATATTTCAATCGAATAAACTCAGTCGTAATAGTTACAAAGCGTCTTTGAAGTGTCAGCTGGTCTGGTTCATCAAAACATACTTCTAAAATTGCCTTTGTTCGTGAACCAGAAATCCCTATAGTGTAAGCAGAAGACGAAATCTATTCCAGCAACGTGTTATGTTAGCCCAATAAATTTCAATCTGATCACATATTCAATTTCCAAATCAACCTATACAAAACAATAGGATATAACGATAAATGGAACCATTGTGATAAGAGGAGATTAAAATTAAGACAGATGAAAATAGAGAGAATGATATAATTTCATGCAAATCCCGGCAGGCGAACAAAGCTTAACCAGGTAGATGAAGTGTAAAAAGAGATTGGGATAGCTATGCACAAATTGAAACCACCTCCGTGTGTACACAAGGAATTTGCTATTAACTACATCTGCCTAAGTAAACCTTGTTTCCTTACTCTGATTCTTATAAAATATATCACCATTCCATTTTATCTCTTCTGATTTTAACCGCCCATTATATTCATTATTCTATTTGTCCTCCCACCCTTCATTTTTATGTGAATTGACTTGACAATAAAACTTACGATAACATTGTTTGAAACGTATTGCGCAAATACATCGCACTCATTGTTCATATAAACTTTGTCTTCTAATTGCTCTCTCTCTCTCTCTCCATATATATATATATATATATATATATATATATATATATATATATATATATATACAAAATCAGATGTCGAAAGCAGTGTGATTACATTGATATAATTATGAGCAATGATAGTTTATGCTAGAAACGTCATCAAGTAAATAATACTCTGTCACTGTGTGTTATAAATCAAATAAGTAAATATAATGTGGAATTTCCTCTAATTACTTTTATGGAAAGTAATTTGTCAAAGACTCACTTGTCATGTAGCCTTCTGTAGAAAAATATCAACTTTATGTTGGTTGCGTAGTTTCTCAAAGAGTTATTTTGGAGTTATCAGCAGGATGTATCCGGATTTTGAAGCGGTGGATGAGAGGTGAGAACGCCATCACTCACTCAGATTTGGGTTAATCCAAGTGACTAGTCTCGAGCGGGACAAAAAACGCATATTGTATTCCACTGCTATCCACCACCAAGTAAACTACAGGAATGAACATCCAAGCAATACCTAATCGTTTGTCTGGAAGTCTACATACCAATAGGTGTTGGTCAATTCGATCCAGTTAATAATCGAGAATCACAGCTATCAACAAATAATGACAAAAAGGTTTGTAGTATCTAGAATACTGAGAGTTGGGTTCCTGGATTTCCTGAAGTAGATATAGGAAGAAGTTTTATGAGACTGAAATATTGTGATATTAATCATCGGTTACAACGACAAAGGTAGAACACATGAAGACCAACTAGTGGCAAATGCCTAGTTAATGAAAACCTATTGAAATTTGCTATTGTTACAGAGATACTGAAATTGGATATAAATATTTGTGCTTTGTAGGCAAACGCTTATAATGCTTTCAGTTCAGTTGACCAGTCTTCGAGAAGAAAAAAAACGTTTAGATGCATAACAAGAGTGAAAGGTCATAACTCTATGATTTATTATTATTATTTGTCCCTTGGGTTCCTAGTAGAACATAGGGCTTCAGTAGCACATCTCCATTCCACTCTGTTCTCTGAAATCTTTTGAACCTGGCTCTACCACTGCCCACAAGCTCTCATTTCTTCCTTGCACGATCTCGTCCATGTGATCCTCTCATCAGACGCCCAACTGGTCGTTTCCCATCTGGGTTCCTTTCGAGTGCGCAGCACATGATGTCTCCGAATGGTCTCCTCAGTGTGTGCCCAATCCAGCTCCACTTCCTTCTTCATATTCGTTGAGTGATAGCTTCTTGGTTGATTCGTTCCCAGAGTTCCTCCTTGCTTATTCTTTCTGGTTATCTGATCTTCAGAAACCAGCCAGCGTAGGTGGTTGTTGATGAATATTCATAGTTTGTTGGAGATGTTTTTCATAACGCGCCAAGTCTCTCAACCAAATAGAAGCAATGACTTGACGTTGGTGTTGAAAATCCTGGTGTTGTTCACGCTTTGTGCTGAGTGGAGTGCAGAAGATCTCCACACTGGTTTCAAGTTAATGAACGCCTGTCTTGTTGTCTTTCCGATCCTGGCTGGCTTCGACGTCCTCATCCGTGACACCTGTAGTTGAAACAGTGCTGACTAGATAGGTGAAAGAGGTTACTCCCTTTAAGTTTCCCCCATTGATGGTAATTGGAGCTTGTTGTTGGTGGTGGTGGCGTTGACTGAGTAACTTCATCACCTCTGTCTTCTCAACGTTCACTTGAAGTCCTGTCTCTGTTGCTTCGCCTCTTCTGTCAAGCTAATAGTTTTTGCCTGTAGATCTTCGAGTTTGTGCACCATTAAATACAATCCATCATCGGCGAAATCAAAAATTTCTTCTATCTTTTCATCAGTTCCGGATGTGAGCATTTTTTCACAGCTTCTCATGGTTCGCTGCATGATCCAGTCGACCACAATCAGGAAGATCATGGGTGGTAGTAGACAGCCTTGTTTTATTTCTGTCTTCACTTCAAAAGCATTAATAAGCTTTCCATTGTGGATTACTTGTCATGTAGCGTCTTCAGATAGTTGTTGAATGATGGAAAAGTTTAGAAATATCTGGTTATAGTTTTGGGCTACATTTTCCTGTTCGTGAGAATTTCGCAGTTGCTCAAGTAATTTCTTTTCACCTGATAATTGTTACTTTATGGTTCTGGTTATCTTAGTGACTGAACGTGAGTGAATGCGCATACTTACGGTTGTCAAATATGTACATAAAGAAAATGATTATCATCCTAATATGCTCCTTTCATGCTATCTGAACGGAGCATTCTTTTATTCAACTGGAGTGTATGTATCTAATTTTGTTACTCATGCAACCTTTTCAATAACGTCGGTTATACGTTATCAGATAGTTTCTTTAGGGTAACTTTAACTGTCGAAATATAGTTAAATGAGCATATATAGAAGGAGCTTCTGGTAGTAACATTCTAATAGAATTGTTTTAATATAACTAGAAAAACAGATTATATTAGCCTATTAGTGGTGTTAAAGAAAGCATCATGTATAACGAATGAGTATTTCGAACTTACTACTAGATGATTCCTTTGCACATACTGACAAACACAGCCCACCTGGTAAAAGAAAGCATCGTAGGTTGTTAAAAGATGTACACTTTATTAATTGATAAATATGACTGTGATTTATTTCAATGGAATTTCAGTCTTCCAGATTTCAACAAATAGTTGTGAGAAAAACAGAAGGAAAAGTGAACGCTTAGGAAACCATTTGTAACATGAAGATGGACTGATGGTTTCACCGAATTTATTCAGATACATAAACCTCCAAAGTGGAGAAAGAGATATTGTACTGGAATTATTTTCATCTATCTTGTCTAACTAGTATCACCCTATCCATTTCATGGCCTAGCAAACACTTAATAAATGGAGAAAACTATCGTGGAAGATGTTCACATTAGAGATATCATCGATTCCATTATGAGAACGTATGCTCGATTATGCTGAAATCAGTGAAGCGTAAGATGAACTCTGAGGATGATGATTAGTTATTCGTAAGTTGATGTAACTAACTAGATGGAATAGTAGTTGACCTCAGGATGATCACTCCTTATTCACGTTGAAATGATGAACACCTCTATATCAAGTCAACACACATCAGTTACTTATACTTTTTGGTAAACAGTGAAGTTTGAATCTACTGTTGACACCAGTCATAAAAGTTTACTGGGCTTGTTATAAAGTTCTACTAACTGCTTTCATTTCCACAAAACGGATAATACTATGCTTTGTTGTCATCGCTGTAAACGTTATTCACGGGTTTTTCATCAAAGTGAGGGAATGAGGTTTAGCATTTTATTTAAATGATTGGAAATGTCAATCTGTCTACACATAATACAAGAGTTTAGCCGATATGAATCACTTTATGACAGCAAGTAAATAACTGAATGTCCTATTATTATTATTATTAGTCCCTTGGGTTCCTAGTGGAACATAGGGCTTCAGTAGCACGCTTCCAGTGACCTCTGTTCTCTGAGATCTTTTGAACCTGGTTCCACGACAGCCCAGAAGCTCTCATTTCCTCCTCGCATGACCTCCTCCATGTCACCCTCGGACGTCCAACTCGTCGCTTCCCATGGGGATTCCACTCGAGGGCCTGACGCGTGATGTCCTCAGTCGGCCTTCTCAGTGCATGGCCAATCCATCTCCACTTCCTCCTGCATATTTGTTGCGTGATAGCTTCTTGGTTGGTTCGTTCCCAGAGTTCCTTGTTGCTTATTTTTTCTGGCCATCTGATCTTCAGCAGCGAGCGTAAGCAGTTGTTGATGAATGTCTGTAGTTTATTGGAAATCCCTTTCGTGACGCGCCAAGTCTCTGAGCCATACAAGAGCACTGACTTGACGTTGGTGTTGAAAATCCGTATCTTGTTCCAGATGCTGAGTGCAGAAGATCTCCACACTGGTTTCAGGCTAATGAACGCCTGTCTTGCTTTTCCGATTCTGACTTTGACGTCCTCGTCCGTCCCGCCTGTAGTTGAAACAATGCTTCCTAGATAAGTGAAGGAGGTTACTTCCTTCAAGTTTCTCCCGTTGACGGTGATTGGAGTTTGTTGTTGTTGTTGTTGATGGTGGTGGTGCGGTATCTTCATCACTTCTGTCTTCTCTATATTCACCTGAAGTCCCGTCTTAGCTGCCTCTTCTATCAACTTGTTAGTTTTTGCCTGCAGATCTTCAAGTTTATGTGACATTAGGCATAAGTCATCGGCGAAATCCAAGTCTTCTAGGTTCTTTTCCGTCGTCCAGTGTATCCCCCTCTTCTCGCTGCCTACTGTTTGCTGCATGATCCAGTCCACCACAATAAGGAATATCATGGGGGATAGTAGGCAACCTTGTTTCACTCCTGTCTTCACTTCAAAGGCATCACTGAGCTTCCCATTGTGGATTACTTGGCATGTGGCATCTTCATATAGTTGTTGAATGAGGCGGATAAAGGTTTGCGGTACTCCGTAGTATTGAAGCAGTTTCCAAATTACTTCTCGGTCGACGCTGTCAAAGGCCTTCTCAAAGTCGATGAAGTTGAGGTAGAGAGCTGATTGCCATTCTACGCTCTGTTCTATGATGATACGAAGTGTTGCAATTTGGTCAGCACATGATTTGTACTTCCTGAAGCCTGCCTGTTCCGGTCGCAGTTTTGAATCCAGTGCGTCTTTAAGCCTCTCCAGGATGATGCGGCTTAATATTTTACTTGGGGTGGACAGGAGAGTGATTCCGCGCCAGTTCTTGCAAGCACTGAGGTCTCCCTTCTTCGGCAGTTTGACAAGGTAACCCTTCATCCAATCGTCCGGTACCTTTTCTTCCTTCCACACCTTCTGCAATAGTGGTGTGAGCATGTCTGCTGTTGTCTCTGCATCTGTTCTCAGTGCTTCCTTTTTATTACATGGTCAACGTTGTTTAACAATTTAAGCTTAGCGTATTCTGTTGAATGTATTATCTTTCTCTTGGTAGACTTTGGCTTCAAATTACCAACATTGGCAATATTGTAATTGTGCATACTGTGCACGAAATAGTGATTTAGCAATTATTATTTATCTTCAAGAGTATCATTGATTTGATGCCTATGTCTGTGGATTATAAGAAGTCTACATAAATTGTGTGCATGAAGATGTCTTCTGTATGTGCACTAAGAATGTTTATTATTCACCGGACATCAAAACAGTTGTCTTTGCAATTCAACAAATAGAGATGCTTCACAAAGCTTAATAGAACAGTAATCACATATTCCTAACATTATGGTATAGAATCTTAACACGTCATAGGTTTCAATTACTTGCATGGCCCTCTCTTATAAATGATTATCTATTAGACCTAGTTCATTTGCCTAAGCTGTCTTTGTCAACACTTTTCAGTAGAAGGATTCGATTTAAATGAGCAATCAGGCAAGAATGAGGATGACAGTTTACACCAACAATGAAAAGAAACCAGATACATTTAGAATACATAAAGTATACAAAAACCCTTACAACTGAATATTATTTATCAGTAAAGAAGAAAAATAATGACGAAGCTGTCTCACCTAGTATAAATATAAGAATAGACACATTTTGATGCATCATTTTCATCAGATAGTTAAAATACAACCAGTGTAGAAAGTATACAGTTTTATATAGAGTGAAAAAATGTACATGTCACATCAAGTGTGTGTGGTACACAAGCAACTGAACAAGAGAGTAGACAGTCAACTGCTGATCACGAATACTGATATCATCACGACCATTTATGTTGCTTTGACCTGAACAAACTTGATACTGTGGTATTTAAGCAATGCTATTTTGCATTTAAATTTATACTTCATAACCATAAATCAATTGGTGTTTTTTGTTGGCTGTTAACAGACACAAAGCAATTAGACTCGTTAACGGTGAGTGATTTAGCTGTCAACTTCTGTTAACAACGTTTGATAAGCTTACAGTTGATAACTATGACGATATTTCTACTGGATCTTGAAGTAAAGTTTGCACTTAGTGAATTGCATACTTGGAGCACATAACATGCCTTCTCAGCTTGTCATTCGCCCGTCATGATCACCTCAATGTTTAATTCAGTAAAGTCAGTCCATATTTGAAATCCTTACCATTCATTCTGAGTGTTATTACTAAAGTATATGAAGATTTTATCTAGAAATGATCGTACTTTACGCAGAGGTGAATTGCACTTTCCGAAAACATCCAAGTTATTAATTTCTAATTTTTACCCAGAAACTGACTACTATTTCAACAAATATACCATCTTTTCTTGAATTATGTCAACTTTTAGTGAGGGAGGGAATACGGAAGGAAGATTTCCAGTGGGAAAAAGAAAAGAAAAGTACAACCGAAGACAGGAATTATTAAGTTCTATAAAGGAACATTGAGTTGGATAGCAATGACGGATAGTTGTTGGCTACAGAATCCAGGTCGACGGGGAATTACAAGTAATAACATGAACATATTCAGTGTGTCTTAAAGTTATGTAATTGATTCCATTCAAATGCTTTGTAGTATTGAATATTAGCATTGGATTCGAACGTAATGTGATTCTATGGAAGTTTTTATGAATTATAAAAAGCATTATCTTCAAAACATGACCTTTTATGAACCGGGGGATTCTCGTGAACAGTGGAGCCAATACATGTATTGAGTTTCTTCTAACTATATCGACATATATTACTCATTTGAAAACCTGGCTCATCAACCAAACACAATTTTTCCATGATTGTCACATTGTAGAGAAGTGGTTCACTGATTTGTCAAGCTGATTTCCAACTAGTAGGTTGCTGGTCTGGACCCCGCTCCACCTTCTTAGGTTCTGCAAGACAGGTAGTACAATTAGCCTCCACACAATTGGTATGACTCACTACCTACTGCATGAACCTGCACAAGGTTGCTGATGTAGTACAATCTGAAGTTGGACGCTTTCATTGTAGTTTAACGAAATTTCTAGTTCATATTATAAGGTTTTATCATTGTCGTATATTTTAAAACGCAACTGCTTCACATCCTTCTTGAAGATAGTTTCAGAATGAATCAGTTAATCTGAGAACGCTATGAAATGATTTTCATCTTTGTCATTTTATAAGAAAGAAAAACTGCATTTGATTTATTGGTAGGTTCTATATGTTCACTGTTCGGTGACAGTTCATTTCCATTTGGTATGATATATCTCACTGAGTTGCAAAGTTTTATTGCCATCCATCCAGATCAACATAGGACCAGGCATTACTGCATAACGGTGCGAGTTGCAACAACCCATATCAGCACATCAAGTAAAAAGGCAGTGAAGTGGAAGATGGTGAAAAGAAAATTCAATCAAAAGGAATACAAAGTACTAAAAGAGACAAAGGAAAAGTGAGAAAATGATGAGGTTCGGTAAAGCGTTAAGATGAAGATATACATCTACGCCACTGATATCGGTTCTGAGCCATGTCACCTAGAGTCTCCAATCACTTGTTCCTCTTGTCACGTGAACCCCAAACAGCTAGTCTGCATGACCCAACATGGCTCAAATCAACAGTCAAAGACTTCATACATTGATGCCATGTTTTAGTCTGGCTGTCTTGAGCCTTTTTTGAGGCTGCACCTACTTCAGCCAACATTGTGTGTCAAGGCAGACGGCGACTAGGCACAATTAACACGTCTCAACCATCTCAGTCGATGAAGATCCATAACAGCGTTAACTGACTTACCTCTTCTCCCTAGAACTCTACACCTGACTTCTGCATTACTCACATGGTGACACCACGGAATACTACGAAGGCAACCTGAAGCCTTCTCATGTCCTTCACCTTCAATGGCCATGTTTCACAGCCATACAGTAGAACCGAGCAGACTGTTGTGCTGTAGATGCGCCCCTTATAGACAATCAGATGTCGCAGTGGCGCCATAGGTGGCGTAAGTTGGCAGTAGCCAGCCGAGCCTTTTGTATTCATGCAGAAATTTCATCGACCACTGAGCCACTAGGGCTGATCCTGCTTCCCAGATAACTTAAGTGGTCGACACACTCAATCGCTACACTTTCAATGGTTAGCCAAGGTACCTTTGAAGACCAATAGTAGAGTAACAATTTGCATTCTCAAATTCTCACACGAAGTGTACAGAAGACTCTGAATCTTTTCAGCGTCTTCACCTAACAGGCCTATGTTATCTGCGAATTCTAGGTCTAACGAAAATCCTCCTGTGATTAGGTCAATCTCTGTGTAGTCAGGTGACGAGAGAGAAACCTCCATAAGAATATCTATGACGTAATTGAAGAAGAATGGAGAGAGTAGGTAGCCTTGACGGTCACCACTTGATGAGTACAGCTCATCTGATATCTCACCATAGGCTCTAACATGCCCACAAGTGTTCGAGTAGAGAGCTTTCAATAAAGTGATGTACTTACTAGGCACGCCTTTCAGTGAGATACATTGCCATAAGAATTCTCAATCAACGGAGTCGAATACCGCCTTTAGGTCGAGAAATACAGCTACTGTTGGGCGTCTGTAAGCGTATCAGTGTTCCAGAACCTGGCAGAGTGTGGATATTTGGTCAATACACCCGCAGCTGGGTCTAAAACCTGCCTGGTCTTCTTGGGCTCGCTATTCCGAAGCTCTACTCAGGCGTCGAAGAATTATAGGACCTAGAAATTTAGATACTATTTTCGTCAGGCTGATTCCCCTACGGCAATCGCAAGAGGACTTCTCACCTTTCTTGAAGACTTGGATAATCAGTGATTTAGGCTAGTCAGAGGGGATCATATTCAATTCTCATATGTTAGTTAAGTTTCGTTAACCTGACTAAGAGCACTATACCACCATCCCTGTATACCTCAGGAGTTAGTCCGTCTGGTCCTGCCGCCTTTCCTAGTTTCAAGTTACCTCCTCGACTTCTGCAAGTGTTGGGGGACCCACCTCTATGTCCCATTCAGGATCTGACTGGATAGCGAGCAACGCAGTGGTGGCTGGAGGCCAGTTAAACTGTTCCTGGAAATGTTCTACCCATCCTTCCAGTCGTCTTCTCCGCGAGTGAATAGCAGACCCGTCCTACTCCGTTATGGTCTCACTAACCGTTGTTGACCTTTCCCCCCCAGTTTCCTTAATGTCTAACTAGTTGTCTAGAGTTACCAATCGCCACTGCCTTTCCATTTCTTTAGCCTTCATTGCCCACCTCTGTTCACAATCGTTGCGCAGACTTTTTCTCAATCTTCCTTTAAGTTGCCCTTGCTCTTCGTTGTTCTCAGAACTTGTAGGGATGCGTTCACTTGCACCCATTAGTTTGGAAGAAGCTGTTGATATTCACTGGCTCTTTTTACCCACTCTTTTGGAGTAGCATATGGTAATGAGTGCTGCTTTTCCAGGAGAATGGAGATGTCATCAAGCTTCTTCTGGATGAGTGGTAGTCTTCTGTTTCGATAACTGCCTAGCCAGTCTCTCACTGAAAGCGGCTTTGGTGTTTTCTTTGTCAAGCTGATCTCATAATGGCTGTGTTGCCAATTTTTCGCACATCCATTGAAACCCAGGCATATATGCGTTCGGACTAACGCGTGTTCGCTATCCAAACGTGTACTCCAGAAGGAGTGGCAGTGTTCCATCGATCCTATCCAGCGACGACTGATAGCAGTGTGGTCTATCTGTGTCCATCGCTGAGTTGAGCTAGGTGGACGCCAGGTCAAACACCGCCTTTCTTTATGTCTGAAATTGGTGCTGGCTAGAAATAGGCGGTTATCTGAGCATAGTTGTAATAGGCGATCACCGTTATCTGTACGTTCAGCTGGGATTCCGAAAGTGCCACCTAAGTGCCTTTCTGCTTCACTTAGTCTACCCACCTGTGCGGTGAAGTCACCTGCAACAACCAGCACGTCTGAGCGTTCGTCCGTCGATAGGAGGTTAGACAGTTTACGGTAGAACTCGTCCTTCACTTCATCCGAGCTGCAGTCAGTGGGTGCGTAAGCAGAGAATACAAAGAGACAACGGCGAGTCTCACTATTCCTTTTAGTTCTCACTGTGCCGTTCAGCCTCATAGTGCAGAGGCGACTATCAACTGGGATCCAGTCTAGTAGTGAGTTTTCTGCTATAGTGCTTAAAGCTATGCCTATACCTTCAAGACCTCAAGAGCTTGCCATCGAGGTTTTATTGCCAGTAAACTTCCTCAAGAAAAAAATCAAGGAAGAATTTAGACATATGCGCAGTTAGTTCTCATGCTATGCTACGTACAAAATATTTATCAACACCTGAGAAAAGGTAATTTATTTAATTTTATGAAAGACGTTTTTTATGGTCTACGAAACTTAGACGGTAGGATGAAGACTTATGCTTTAACAATCGTAGGATTTGAAAATTAATAAAAGACATTTCAGTGAAGGAAATTTTCTTCTTGACGAATCACTTTCATAAAGTGTACATGGTTATCACAATTACAACTATATTTATATGAATTGCAAATGGGTCAATACAAAGTCGTCGAATCAGTGAATAAGGCCACAGGTTAGTAATGACAAGAAGGTCAACTTAAGGTCATCAAAAAACTTCTTATAAGCAAAAAAATAAAACGAAATGTCTTGTCTTTGATACTCCACCTATGAAGTACATTATTTCTCATCA